AGCCGTTTTCGAGTTTTAGCGTTACAACTATACACCATTTCATTTTTATATATATAGATATATGAACTATTGTTTTCCGAAAAATGGTAAAAATTTTATATTATAAAATGAAGATGTGCCATATGAACTTAAATGTGCTCATATAAACGCTTCCAGTCATTCCTTTTATTTCTGCAAACAAAAAATTAATGACCTTCATGAAATATTCATATTCTCATTATATCGTTATCAATTCCATATTTGTAGCCGATTTGTAGTCGATTTTCTATGGCATACATACATATATTTTTTCTTTGGCACATTTGTCTGTATGTTTACGAAAGCAAATGCGAGCCACGTACATATGTACATGAATTCATAATAACAAGTGCCGCACGCATCTTTTCGCATCTCCATTGTCAAGGTCAACCAATGGCCGAAGCTGACGGTATTACTAATAAATATTTTTGTATTATGCTTCGTAGTAATAGAAATTGAATTTATCACAACAATATATAAACACATTGTCTACCATATTAATCTTATTATCTGCTCATATGATTGAATGTATATGCATGAGCGCGTTCAGAAATTCAAATCATGATTTTATCACTTATCAATATATTATATGTGTGAATTATTTAATCACAAATATGTATAAGTCTTTTTATTCATACTAAAAAGGAGCTAAAGTGCAAAATACCCTAAATTACATACTGATATTTCTAATAGATAACGAATTTGGAGGAATAGTTCCTCTATTCTATTTAAATAAAATAATTGAAAATATCTTTAAAAATATTGAAATTAACAGAACAAACACAACCGAGTTTGCATAATATAACATAACCTTTTCCCCACAAATTTGTAAGTATTTGAGGTTTTGAAATCATATCAGTATTCGGAAAACCTCACAAAAGTGAGGGTGATGATTTTTGCGAGGGCATGAGAATAGGGCTGTTCGTTTATTTCGAAATGTGGAAATAAAGACTATATTGATTAATTCCAAGTGTGCTACTTTTTGTTTTTTTCTGTTTTGTTCTTCCGAATAGCTAGCAGCTGATAGCGGTTAAGAAACATACTATGCCGCTTTCTCAATGTATAGTTACCAACCATCTGTCATTAGGTTATGGTTAATCTTTCCGAAATAAAGCTTAGTATTCAGCTCTCAAGAAATGCAAAAACTTCATATAAGAAACGCTTAAGAAAAGGTCAAGTAACTTTCTTGCGATAAATTTGCTTGTGCTAGTATGCAGCTCTAAAGAAACATAGTACTAATTTTTAATACATTTTTTCAATAAAATGCGAATATGGCAAACCTGAAATCAACAATTGTTTCTTGAAGGAAATTCAAAGTAATCGTTAAATTCATCCTAAGTTAGTTAAATTCATTATTATGAAGAATATTTCTTTTTGAAATGTTGTATAAAACAACATCATCAACAACATTCCTTAAATCGCAATGAAAAAAATGTTTGTTATAACACACATACACACATACATTGCGTAACCAGCCGTCAAAATTACTTGAAGGAATAATGAATTTTTTTCCTTGAGCAATTACTTGTGAGCTAGATACCAACCTTAGTTGCTAACCAGACATTGATTAAACGATCTAAAATAGTAGTATAACTAAGATTTCCATAGAATATAGAATCAAGTACTATCTCCCAATATAACATATATAATACTATACATAAATATATCTTAATGTAGTACTAGAAAATTATTTTCTTCCAAAATTATCAAAAGCTCTGTGGACCCATGCCAATGAGGTTCATATTTGAGTTATTTAAATGCATTTTATTTTTGGGTAGTCACATTTTATTTCATCCAAATATACGTACACAAGATTTAATCAAAAGCAAAATTAAATTCAGAATGTGTTGATTTCTTTTCGTGCATACCAACACAGTTACAATTCATTGATGCTCACCACTGATTCAAATACATGTACAACCAGTGACATATTATATTCAATAAAGAAATGGAGACATTATCTCCCATACATTAATATATTTCCACATATAAATTTTTATTTTTTTTTTTTTTTTCGATGTGTACGTTGAAATACGTGTGTGTAATGATATATATGTACATACTGAAATAAATGTCAGTATTTTCTCCTTAGATTACGTAATCGAACAAATGTTCATTCGAAAACGAAAACTTGTATAAAGGCAGTCTATCAAAATGGCGCCAACATGGATATTTATTTTTGAAAACCTCTATGATACTCGTATATACATTTATATGGCAACGTTCATTGCATTTTAAATCTAATTCGATCGCTGCAAAATGTACGAAAAAAGTCAAAGTTCGTCTAATTCTAAAAATTATGCGAACGTGGCAATGTTTTGCGGATATCTTATGCCACGGGCAATTGCATGTTGGAAAAGAGCGTGGCCTTAAACCTAGTGATCGATATAATGCCATTAAGAAACAATTTCTTTCAGAATTGAGTAAAAAAATGTGGCTTAAAAATTACGTGATTTACAGCATAAATAATTGGTATACTATATATACTCGTACAAACTTATGTGCATTTGCAAATTTATACTTATAACTATTCCTGCCAGCCAAAAACATTCAAAAACTTGTGAAAAAGAAGCTCTTGCCAAAGGCAAGAAGGGTAAATTTTATCCCGATTTCTGGGTCAAAATGAGTATATAAGGATGGAGTAGGTCCTCCGGATCAAGAAAAAAATATATATATTATATATATAGTTGCCGCTGACTTATGGTTTTGGAGATATTTGCATTTAAAGTTCAAAAATTCCACTATTTAAAACGAGTGTTTCTTCGATTTATAATGAATTTTTAACTTTTATATCCGCTATCACTTGACTAAATTGTTTCTAATCATTTATTTAATATTATCTAGTGCAAAAATAGCTTTTATTCAATATTTAACTTTTGTTCAATTATTTTTGTTCACACAATAACAAAAGGGTTGTATTCTAACTAACAATCGGTGTTATCTTACGTACATATTCGCTTCAAAAAAATAATTCTAGTTGGGCCGACACCTGGGCGTGATCAATGCATTCGCGTTGAACTCCTTTCTGCACTGACGGCCTTCGGCCGCGCTTCAAAAAAAAAATAACCCTGACCGATCCAACACCGGGATTTATCAAGACAAAAAAAATTTGAAATATTTTACATTACTCAGTACTTGATAATGAGTTTTATATTGACTTCATCATCACTCCATTGTCTTATTTTTATACTCTCGCAACAAAGTTGCTAAAGGGAGTATTATAGTTTTGTTCACATAACGGTTGTTTGTAAGTCCTAAAACTAAAAGAGTTAGATATAGGGTTATATATACCAAAGTGAGCCTGTCTCTTATACACATCTAGATGTGTATAAGAGACAGATTACAAAATATGGTAACACTAATTTTTTGCTTGCCTGCAACCATTTTCTTATTGTATGAATAAATGGGTTTCAACTAGAGTTGAATGTGGAATTAAAGTTATTTTTACGCTTTTTAATATGAAACGAATTAGTGAAGTGTTAGTGGATATAAAAGTTAAAAATGTAAGTGTAAAATTAATTATAAATCGGAAAAACACTCGTTTTAAATAGTTGAATTCTTCAAATTTAAATGCATATACAGGTAAACCTCCTATAACGCGATTTCCTATAACGCGTTTCCGCCCCAACGCAGTTTTCAAAATGCAGACTGAACTATAATTAAACTAATTGTTACATAATATATAAATTTTGCAAAAGAAAATTAAAACAATTCAAGGAAACAGTGGAAAAAATCTGAGACTAAAAGAGAAGTGTAAAGTTTAAAATACCAATTAATTTTTATTGAAATTAATATTAAATTGTGAAAAACTTAACTTTGAATAATTACCAGAGCCAACATTTAGACGATAACAATTTTTGTTATATTTCTGAAAGCCAGTTAATTTATATCGCTAAAAGTATTCAAAACAAAAGCTAGGCAACATCAACTACGATTATATTAAATCACATCATTTCTAAAATTGAAAAATTGTGCTATTATTTCGAAACAGTATAAAAAATTTGTAAGAAATTATCGTTTTTTACAACTTAGATAAACTAATAACGCCAACATATGGACATGGATTAAAATAGAGTTATGTGGTTAAATTCGATAGTATAATATAAGCAGTAGCTAACGATTAGAAAGCCAATTACACTAAATAATCAAGGAAAAACTTTAGCCTTGTTTACACCGATACTAGAATATTGCTTAACAAAAAAGCTGCATACAAGAACTTGATTTTGATCGACCAGTTCTTGTGAAAGCTATATGCTATATAGGTAAGATCTGAAATTCTTCGTGAAGATTTCATATTGATATTTAATCTAGACAAAAAAAAAAAATAATCACAAGAACATGATTATGATCGTTAGTTTTATATGGGATATTCGACAGGCTATGTCATTAAACTCTGACCACAAACTGTAATCCAAAGGATTTATCTCTGATCTTCCAGACGGACAATCAATCATCCGCAGCTATAGAATCAGGAACATTGCTTTTAAGCCACTACTGGGTGGTTTCTGTCTTGTATGCTAAAGCGGAATCTGGCTGGAAAAATCAATTCTCTGAATCGATAAGAGTATTCCTTAACTTCTTTACCAAGCCTTTTAAAGCAGCCTGCTGATACTACCAGTCTTGTCTTCATAGAAGTGAAGAGGTGTAAGGCCTTTACAGGGTACTCACCACCAAACCATTGCAACAGCTGAATGGTGGTCATATTGAACCTTTCTAATAGTATTTTCTGTGAACATTTTTTTTTTTTTTAACTATAAGAAATATATACAAGTATGTATACGTTTGTGGTCATTGACTCGTACTACTGAAGAAGCCATCTGATAAATCTAATTATCTTCAAGCTTACAAATATCGATTTTCTATCGAGTTCTTTTTTGTCTAGCCCATTGCCTCATGTTAATATGTATATTCATTTTATAAATAATAATCCTTCTTTTAATTTCATTCGTTTCATATTTAATGACCCCAAATTGAAAATGAAGGAGTCAACAAACGCTCCAAAAAATATCGATTTGCTCAAAATCTTTACGCCAGCAACAGATGCCAATGAAATTGTTCCAAGAAATCGTAAGTACAACTTAATCAATGGTGATACGTTTTTTCATGCATATGTTCATATACATATAATGCTAACCCACTTAAGTGGGATGTAAACAAATTTATATATTCATTTACTTCAATGTTTTCTTTTTTATTCGTTCCAAAATTCGATAAAAAATATATAAGTACTTTTCCTCCCCATTCTATATGACAATATTTAAAGAAATTAATATTAAAATTAAATTAATATTATTTACACTCACTACTTGAGTGCTTTTATTATTTATTGTTACAGATCACTTCCAAAATTCCCTTGACCATTAGCCTTCAGGCCACATACACAGTTGTATACATTATTTTAATTCAATTACACTATTAGTTGTTAATGACTTGTTTGACATCTAATAACTACCTTATAAAACCCTCGAAATACGTTGCACATACTATCTGTAGTATAATAATAGTGTTTACTTAAAATTTTGTTGATATACACCAAACTATTGAAAATATTCAAAATATCGCGACAAAGTGTTTCCCGTCTGCTCATCCGGTCGTTGTTAATTAGAAAACAAAATATTATATAAAACCTTAATTCAGTCACAAATTAAGCTAAAAAATTTGACTTTGGTATAGATCATCATAGCGTTAGGTTTATATGCGGTTTGAAAAGCTGGTGTGTAATTAATGTATTACTTATAGTAATCAAAGGATAATATGAGGAGTGTTCAAAAAATAACAAGAATTTTTGTAGTATGAAAAAATGCTTGTTAATTCGCCCACATTAGAATTGACGCGTTTAAAATAGTCCCCATTCGATATTATGCACTTATACCAGTGCTTCTTCCAATCGCCGGAACACTTTTCAAATTCATTTCTCGAGATGGCCTTTAGCTCCTTCACCGATTCTCATCTATCTTGTATAACGACGGCCTTTTAAGGTTCTCTTTATTTTCGGAAATGGGAATGTATACAAGATTGCAGATGAAATTTCTGACTACTTATTAACAAATAATTATCATATATCCAATGGATGAAACGTAGAACTAACTCACCAAAAGACTTTGAATTTTATATCTTATTTATGCTGTGATCCTACGTAAAATTAAGTCCGATTCCAACCTTGACGGATTCGGAAATATGGTAACCAAAATACGCAAAACGGAAAGTGGAGAAATGCTGCTACAATTAAATGGTACAGTGATACCAACCGACTCCTAAGAGAATATTAGGAAATGTCTATGTGACCAACGTAAAACTGTTAATCCTAGTGTAAATACCTGAATAAAATCATTAGCGGCGCGGTTCTGTATGCTCTAAAAAAAAAGAGTTGAGAAACTCCGAATCGACGATCTCAGCAATTAAGAGTATAAGAAAGACCTACGGAGGCTTTCAAACTGTACTCATAAAACTCCCGAGTGGCTAATTCGTCTTATTCGGGAACACAGGCAACTGCAGCGATACTTCAGGTGTTTTCACTATGGGCACACAGCGAAAGTGTTCACAAACGTGGACAGGTCCAGGATGTGCAGAAGATGTGGCGAATGCGAACATCAAGCCAAGGACTGCACCAATATGCCGTAATGTTTACTCTGCGTTAGGGCATGGTCCAAAGAAATTGAACGGTATATTATATAAGAAGGCAGCACAACAAGTCGCATGAGATAAAGGACACGATCGCTGAGAAACAGATCGATTTGGGATTACTCAGCGAAGTATATAAAACCGGTCACACTTCCAATGGCTTTGTTCGGGCTAAAGTAAGCGACATACATATATGTAGTTGCTATTTACCCCAAGCATTAAAGACCAAATATTTAGCAATATTATCGACGGCCTTGTGCTCAATGTAGAACTAAATTTGTAATAACTGGCGACTTTAATGTCTGGGCTGTTGAATAGAGACGCAAAAGAACTAATAGTAGGAAGCTTTTGATTTCCTTGACCTTGAGCTATTGAACATAAGCAACCAATCCACGTTGAACAAAGGTGGCCGATAATAGGTGATGGACCTGACCTTCGACCCGTAAACTTTTAAGATAAGTTTCTGGGGACCCACAAAATTCGACCCAGACCTCTTTGAAGAAGTCTTTCGACCTACTATTCTTCTCGACAATTTGTTGTCGGCTTACCAAACTGCCTCATTGATAATAAGCCCCTTTAAGGATGCATTTGACGCACCAATGTCCAAGATTTCACAACGCAACACGAAGATAACGACAAATGCGATTATTGTGGAGGTGAGATCATCGAGAATTTAAAGGATACTTCGTTGGCGAATTTTGAAAAATGCATTCGGTATAGACCCAACTCCAGAAAACCTAGATGGTGGAATCACAAAAAAAATTGGAAAGCCGTATACGAAATAGCAGCGACTAAACTGCTAGAAAAAACTGCACTGGAGCAGACAAGAAGAGTTCGGGGACAAACACTGTGCAAGGGCGATTGTGAGACAAAACGACAAGACAGTAGAAAGTTTGTTCGTATTGAAAAAACAAAAAAAAAAATCATCTTTATTACCATAGTACAACAAGCTTTCACAGGTTATATCGTAATTTTATTTCCATTTTCACTATGGTATTTCTCGCACGAGTCTGTGGGAAAAATCAAAAGAGTTTGATTTTTAAACAATCATCTTGAGCTTCTTATTATTTCCATTTTGCACAATTTCTATCCTCCAATAGAACACCGTTTTGAATCTCGTCGTTTAATATTCTCTGATCTAAATATATGTTATACCATATATTAAGATATGTTAACAAGGACATCAAGTGCCAAGAATGAATGAAATCGATCCACAATTCTTATAAAATGTATTCAATTAATATGTGATATACATATATTAATGAAATTTATTGGACATTCGTGTTCGTCAACAATATCGTTTCTAACCAAAACTGTATGAAATTCATACAAAACAGAATCCTTGACCTCAAAGTGACCATAAGTTTTGGACTTTCCAAAACGGTTTCCAGTTAGTGAGAAAGATATGTCAATAGATTTTGACTGGAATGTTACTTTTAATATTATGATGATGCTTAAAATGTACTTATATGATATCGTTTACACCTTTCCCTTGGTTTATTAGTTCGAATACTACAATTCTTGCATATTATGTGTAGTTCATATGGACCAAGAAGCGAGATACTTCAAAAGAATTAAGTTCAGATATTGTTATTGTTATTGTCACTTCAATTAATATCCATAACTATCTGTATCCAGCACATTTTCTACACCAAAATACTATAAACTCTGTCAAAGATAAAATTATCAGACGAACTTTCGAGTAAATATAAAATATTTTTACCCTGAACACGGTATATTAAGTGTACCACGTAGTTTGTAACACCCAAAAGAAACGTCGGAGATCCTATGTATAATGTACACACGCCTCTTTAAGAAGTTGCTCATTTATCGGAACCTGCGATATTGGATCTCTACAACCTTATATAGCTGCCATACAAACTGTTCAATTACAATTATTATGTATTGAAAACGTTTTTATTTTCCCGAAATTTGGCATGGATAAAGCAATAGTATAATCTTCAGAGAAATTGATTAAAATCGAATTGTTGTATGAAAAGCATTTTTATTTGACGATTGTCCAACTCAACGTTACAATTTCCTGAGAAATGGCTTAGATCGATGCACTATAGCATATACAAAGTTGCCACATAAACTGACCAATCAAAATAAAGTTCTTGCATGGAATCTTTTGTACATATTTGTGAAGAGTATTATAGCTTCGGTTCGAAGTCAATATTTCTTCTTGTTTTTACATTACATAGGTCTACGATAAGAAAATGTTTTATAATTTTGTTTAAAAAAATTGGAAACGATGAAGAGTACCGTGTCGCAGCGGAGAAAAAAGGGTCTGCCTACCTCGCAACGTTACGATCGACCACAACACGTGCGGGATGCGATAGATACCGAGAGTTGAAGAGGGAAGCGAGACGCATTTTCAGACAAAAAAAAGAAAGAGGCCGAAATGAGTGAGTACGAAAAGCTTGATAAGCTGCCGACAGGGCTAATGCTAGAAAATTCTACGAAAAATGAGGCGGCTTACAGAAGGTTTCAAGACCGGAGCATACTCATGTAGAACCCCCAAAGGCGATCTAGTCACCGATACTCAGAGCATACTTAAATTATGGAGGGAACACTTCGCCAGCCTGCTGAATGGCAGTGAACGCACAACGCCAGGAGAAGGCGAACCCGATGCCCCAATCGACG